ACTCATCAACCTCATCAACACAGGCAGGTGCCCCTACATCCAGTACATCGTCACTGATACTGGAAAAGAAGTGTGAGTCTCTCACCTCCATGAGAGTTTCTTCCCTACTACGGCTCTCACGGCTCTCTGGCATCTGTTTCTGCTGTGTTTTTGAACAAAACAATGTGCTAACTGCTGTTGTCTCAAAGCGCTATCTTAGGACCTCTTCACCAGAATTTATCCAGCATTCGAGCAGCGCTTCAACGTTATCTGGAGTAAAGAGACCTTCTGGGATTTCATCAGCCTCATGTCCCCTCCAGAGGTATGTTTTGCTTTCCCATCAGAGTCCAGATTTCAAATAGAGATTTTAGGCATCCTTTGTTTTCCTTCTCTTCAAGGGTTAGAGGTAAGATGTCCTCATCTGGCCCTTCACCCACTTCTTCACTGGAGTTCTGAACCTTGCTGTTGTTGGTTTCTTTATGTTTTTGTTCTTGTTTGGAAGTTTCATCAACATTCTTTCATTAGTTTACTGTGTCTACTACGTGGGTTGTTCAAATGACTGGTAAGCTCGAATACTGTTGGTATTGCATTACGGCGAAGAACTGTCCTGTTAAGGACTACTTCTACAGATTACAGACGTCTCAAAATGTCTGGCACATAATGGATCATGTTTATTTAGCTGATGAGGTGTTTTATCTTCTAAGTCTGCTCTCCAACAATTCAACCACTTCTGGCATCTGGCCAGGTCCGGTGGCAACCTAAAGAAGGCCAGGGCGGGCTGCGTGCTCTTCCAAATGTAGTAGGGAGCAGTGCAGAAGTTCGGAATCGTGGCCCGCCCGCCTCCTCAAGGTAATCAGCCCGCCTGCCCCCGTCAGGACCAGAGAGAGCAGCCATGCCTTCTGACGCAGGGGAGGAGCAGGCGGGCGAGAAGCCATAGGGGCCAGGAGGGGCGCCACTGTCTGAGGCTGGCTGGGGACGCGGCTGCACAGCGCTATGAGCGGCCGGGAGGACTTACTGCGCCACCGCTGCCGCTGGTGCCCCTCCTGCCGGCCGGGGACGCTGCCGCCTCCTTCCCACAATGCCTGTGAATCAATTTTTAAATCAAGAAGTATTTATGTCTTCCCAGCCTCTAATGACCTTTTTGAAAATGAAGTTGCAAACACATTACACATTTCAGGTCCAGAGAAACTCCCCAAAATATCTAAGGGCGTGTGCAAGCTTTTCTTCTAATCTGATTTTTAAACGGAAGCATCTTATATTTGATACATTATTTGATGCCTTTTAAAAAACGAGTTCTAGAGCACATTTTCCATAAAAATATATAAATATGTGGTTGTACAGTAAAATGTATAAGATACCTATTTGTGTATATGTGTGTATATGATACATGAATATAGTTCCTCTCTATTCTTTTTCTTTAAATTCTTCATTATTATGTACCACTTCTTAAAATGGCATAGGGGATGGATTGGTAGCTTTGGCTGTTTCTGGCTGATGTTTTAGAGGGCTACTAAAATGTGCAAAGAGGTAGTCACAGACAACAGTAAACCAACTAGATATTCAATGTGCTCTTTCAAATGTGTATTTAAGGACACAAAATCTTCTCTGTGGAGACAATCAGCACATGTAGGTAGACTCAATTCATGCTAGCAGCCAAGACTTGCCTCTCTCAGTAGACCAAAATTATTCATAAACCATCATGTAAAGAGAAGTGAGCAGTCAACCAGGAGACCCAAGGGCACAGCTACGAGTCCTAAGTAGCAGGATCAAGTCTCACACTGCTCATTATGAAGACAGAGGGTTTCTGCCTTCATTTATTTTAGGATGCAGCTTAGAGAAGGTTGCTGGCCATATTTCTGTTATTTTGATTCCAGCAGAAGATCTTGTGCAGATTCACAGAACACATTACTGTAACATCGCTAAGAGGAGAATTGGGTCAATGCAATTTAGAGGATCAAAATAGCTCTACTGTGAGAGTAGAAATTCTGGTTTATTGGAGGGTAACTTTTTTTGATAGTCTCAAAGTTTAAAAAAAAGCTTTAAAACCAACTTTATTAAATAGGAATTTGAGAGATTTTTTATTCTATGCCTTAGAGATCAAATGGTTTTAGGGTGGGGTGGGAGGCAAATGACAAGGGTTTACTGAACTGCAAGGAACTCCAAAACTTTTCTGTGCTTCTCCTGAAATACCCTTGCTTTGCATCTGAGTCTTGTCTAGACCACGTTAAATGGAGTCATTAGGCTATTTAAATGTTTTATGTACTTGAACTCAGAAACTAATTTTTTTTATTAGGAATTCCTGACTTGGGGATACTTGCCTGAGGGTTTCTCTTTTTTGTATGTTTGAAAACGCCAGTAAGGATGAATTTTTCCATGATTTGGAATTGCCAGGGATGATGGACTTCTAAGGACTGAAATAACCAATCGTATTTGTGCAAGGCTCATTGTTTAAATACTGTATTCTTCTTATAGGATTACTGTTTTCCTTAAAATAATGTTTCTGCTAATGAGTTTTAATCTAACTTCAGTGCTGTCTGTCCAAGACTGTCCTGAATTCAGTGATTTTAAGGGAGAAAGTCTATCAATATAATTTATTTGCATTTTATAGATTGAAAAAAAAACTCATGAGCATATCTCTCCTATATTGTTTACAGTGTTTAGATTATAGCTTATATATAAATTTCTCCTATCAAATTTCTTCCATTTTGTGACAGTTTTATTAACCAACAGACTCCACTGCTGATTTATCACCAATAATAGAAATTTTTTGAGAATTTAAATTTACCTACAGTAAGTAACAGCCATTAACAACTTGATCTCTTTTTTAAATAACCAGAGCCTTGGTGTAGGCGAAAGCAGACAGGTCAGGCCCATCTCTGGGCTGGGTAACCTTTTTTTTGTCACTGATCCTGCCCTTAAAGTGAGTTAGGTTATTTACTTGGGGTCCACAGATGAGCTAAGGGGATTAATTAGTCTGTGAATGTCCTAAAATTCAGTACCACTGTGAGTGTATGTGGATTTTCACCCAATTTTTATCAAAAGAAGTTTGTGGTATAATGGATGGGTGGGCAGCAGAGTGGGCCCTGCAGTGAGACTGCCTGGATTTATATGCTGAGGGGGTTTCTGAGTGCTATCCCAAATATGGTACCTTGGCATATTGAATATTTTAAGCTGAAGAAATTTGAGAAATGGCAGGTTCAGGAGGACTCTCTGGCTTTCCCTTGAAGCAGGTCATAAGACCCTCCTGTGAGAGACACTCTCCCTATACCCAGAAAAATGGAGCATTCATCTCCCTTAAGATGGAGACACTGAGAGGAGTCTGAAGGAACAGGCCTTGCTTAGTTTCCCCCAGTTTACCACCCTTAGCGCCTACCCCTCTGCCTTATCACATTTTCCCATGACTTTTCATCAAGCCTAGTACAACAAAACACTCAGGTTTAATCCTTTTTAATGTATTCATTTCTTTATGAGGCCTCCTATGTCACGTGTAATACTTCTATCACGTACATTTGTATGCTTTTCTCTTGTTAGTCTGTCTTTTGTTACAGAGCCACAGCTGAGAACCTAGAAGGGAAGAAACAAAAGACTTTTTTCTTTTCCTAAAATCCTAATCCACTACTTAGCTAGGTGACTTCAAACAAGTTACGTAACTTCTCCCTGCTTCAGTGTTTTCAAAATTGCAGAAATGATCTTATAGGACTGCTGTGATGATTAAATGTGAGAATTTTGTGGCCATGGAAAACGCTCAATGAAGTGGCAGGCACTTCACCAGCGGTCAGTAAATTTTACTAATTACATCACACAGTTGGCCCTCCATATCCACAGCGTCCATATCTTTAGATTCAAGCAAACTTGGATGGAAAATATTTGAAAAAAGTCAACACTAAAAATAGCAATACAACAGCAATATAGCAATAAAGTTATATTAATTAAAAATATAACAACTATATAGCATTTAGGTTATATTAGATATAATAATCCAGAGATTTAGTATATGGGAGGATTTATGTAGGTTATATGCAAACACTATGCCAGTTTTTATTAGTCACTTGAGCATCTGTGGATTTTGGTACCTGAAGAGGTCTGGGACAAATTTCCCAGGGATACCAAGAGGTGACTGTATTCTCAAAATAATCTGTAACCTCCAAAAAGTTAAGAGGCACTGGTGTATGATATTTTTAGAACCGTGTTTTAAAGAACAAATCAGTACTTGATTTAATAAGTCCCACTCAAGCCTAATTAGAACAGAAATACTAATTTGCAAAACATACAGATGCATATTCATCAAGAGGCAGAAAGGCCTTATAAATAGCTTTGAAAATGTGGAAGGTCAATTTGCATTGTTCTTCCATGGGAGAAAAAGAATCTACCAAGTCTCAGGTAAGCCTCCAAAAAATTATTTCCATTTGCCCATGTCTTCTGTACTGTCCAAGCTTGTCTTGAAACACTGAAATAAATTTCAAGGTGACAACCTAAATTTAACTCTGTGGTTAAGTCCAGTCCTCTCTGTGGTTGTGGGTTGTGGATTTCTCAGCATTATTATTTTTTATTTTTGTTTTTAGTTAGCATGGAAGTCAAAAGTTACAAAAGCAATGAGATTCTGCATCTTTTAATGAAAGATAAAACAACAATATAAACATACACAAATTTACAGAGAAAGGATCAACTTTAATACATTTGGAGTAAAAGGTGTTTCCTCTTTAAATATGGTATAAAAATAAATGCAAGAAACATTAACGGAGAATGTACAGACAACAGACAAAGACATGAGTGTGTTTCTGACTGTGGATACATTGGTGAAATGAAACTTTCTGTGCTAATTTATTGTTTAATAAATGTGAAGCCATATGTATACTTATTGATAAATGCTTTTTGTCTTTTACAATTCTTCCAGTTTGTGACTGACTGAATTTTCAGTGAACTGTGTGTCTAGCAGAAGCTTTAAGAGAGAGGGAGAGGGAGAGGGAGAGGGAGAGGGAGAGAGAGAGAGAGAGAGAGAGAGAGAGAGAAGGAAAAAAGAAAAGGTTTTACTTCACTTGAACTTGTTAAAAAGGAAAAAACACAGATCCAGCATAGTAGGAGGAGAAAGAAAGCAGACAACGGTTTGGAATGGAGGCATCGAGATGGTAAAGAGTCCACTGGAGATGGAATGTACACACAAAAATAACAATTTAGGTCCTTTGCTCATGCAACATCTTGGTCTAATGTCCTCTGCTCCAGGTCACAACAGCGAGCTACAAAGTATGTGCAATGATTCCAGTCTGCATCCATGCTACAAGATGATCCGTTTAGTAAGACTGAACAAGGCTTGTTAACCTCTTTGACGTGAGAGATTTCCCCTGAGAAAATACATAAAACAAGAAAAAAGAAAGAAAATCAAGCATGATCACTGAAAACCTGCTTAGTAGTAGCAACTATTTATTGTAACTGATTTTTGTGTAAGGGTCAAAACTGAACCCTTTAAGTCCATCTTAGTTCAAACTTCATGACCAACCTGCCTTCCCCCCTCCCTCCACTGACACATCAAACAAAACTATCCTCCCTCCCTCCACCCTCCTACCCTCCCAAGTCCTTCCGCCCCACTGCAAACAGACTGATGGTTTCACAGCACAGATCAGCAAATCATAAAACAGATCCATAAATGTTCCATCAAGGCTTAGCAATGAAGCAACACCTAGGTTCCCAACTGGTTATAAACACGTTACAACGAATCTTAGTACACTGCTCTGAAAGGTAACAATGTGAGTGCATTCTTGTTCAGTGGTGGAAATTAATGTCACATTTATAAATATCTAGAACTGTAGAAGGTATGTATGATTTAATTAAATAACATTCAGTTTTTGAGGGTGTGATTCATGAAACTTAAAACTGAATCTGTCCCCATCCCACATAATAATGGAGTAAAAGGTGCCAATTACACATCTGAAGATAAGCCTCTATTTGTTCCCTGCTTCCAGCTGTTGATGTCTTCCTGTCCTTTTCCACTTGACTTCTTCCAACCCTAATCCAAGAAAAAATCTCATCTATTCTGATTCCACATATCATACGATTACATAAAGGACATATTTATGTTTTAGAAATCTTGTAAGTCAACACTGTTCCTGTTCATTACAAGTACTCTAGAGAGATAAGAAATTTGAAATGTTTGATTGGAATATAAAACTGGTGGTTTTGGTTCCATCTCTTATTTTTTATGTTCTATTATAAAAACACATCAGTTATTTAATGGATTTTTGTATATCTCAGAAGATAAAATAATAAGTAAAAATAAAAAATCCGAAAAACATATATTAGTAATAAGTTAAAGTCATGGCAATAGTCTTGATTTGCTACCTGATGTGGCTCAGCTTTAGAAAGAGGTCAGTGGTGATGGGAGACATATCATCTCTCATGGCCACTGTCTTAGTTTGTTTGGGCTACTATAACAGAACACCATAGACGAAGTGGCTTATAAACAACAGAAATATTTCTTATAGTCTCAAGGCTGGGAAGTCCAAGATCTAGATGCTTACAGATTCTTTGTCTAGTGAGGGCCTTCTTCTTGATTAATCAATGGTGCACTCTCTTGTGTCCTCAGATAATGGAAGAAAGAAATAAGCTCCCTGGGACCTATTTAATAAAAGCTCCTATTCATAAGTGCTTCATATTCATGATCTAATTACCTTCCAAAGGCCGTGCCTCGTAAGACTGTCACCCTAGAGGTTAGTATTTAACATGTGAATTGGAGGGGGGAGGGGCACAAATAGTTCATAGCAGCCACGTTTTGGGAAAAGAATGACATGTTTAAGAAAAGATTAGTAATTCCATAACCAACCTTTCTTTACACACCATGTATTTACTGATAAGGCCCTTTTGCCGACACAAACTGCAGCAATGAAAATCATGCACCATTTTCTTTTAGTTTTTTCTTAATTGGGAAAAAGAGTCCTCAACTTAGCTTTCAGCAACTGGGAGTAGAAGATACCAAAGTGTAATGTTGGTATTTCCCGCTAGGCTTACGTTTATTCACTTTATTGGAGAAACAGCAGTAAGAGATATCATAGTTTATTAACAAGAGACTGCTTCATAAACAAAATATGCACTCCTGCCTGCTCTGGTCTGAATGTTATTCCCCCTCAAAGCCCATGTGTTGAAAACCTACTCCCCAGTATGATGCTATTAGGAGGTGGCGGCTTTGGGAAGTGATCAGGTATGGGGGCGTAGCTCTCACTAATGGGATTAGTGCTCTTTTTTATTTATTTATTTTTTTGTGACGGAGTCTCATTCTGTTGCCCAGGCTGAAGTGCAGTGGTGCAATCTCGTTTACTGCATCCTCCGCCTCCTGGGTTCAAGCAATTCTCCTGCCTCAGTCTCCTGAATATCTGGGATTACAGGCATGCACCACTACGCCTGGCTAATTTTTTGCATTTTTAGTATTTTTAGTAGAGACAGGGCCATGTTGGCCAGGCTGGTCTTGAACCCCTGACCTCAGGTGATCCGACCACCTTGGTCTCCCAAAGTGCTGGGATTACAGGCATGCTCTTATAAAAGAGGCCCAATAAAGCTTGCTTGCCCCTCCCACCATGTAAGGGTACAGTAAGAAAATGGCTCTCTATGAACCAGGAAGAGGGCCCTCACTGAACACAATCTGCCAGCATCTTGATCTTGGGCTTCTCAGCTTGTAGAACTGTAAGAGACAAATTTATTTTGATTATAAGCTATCCACCCAGTTTATGGCATTTTGTTATAGCTGACTATAAAGGACTGAAATGCTGCCCCTACTTCTACGCCTATTTCCTCATCTGTAAAATGAGGATAATTATAGTACTTTCAAATCTTGTTCTGAAGACTGATACAAGTAAATTGCTTAAAACTATTCATGGCTCACTTTATGCACTCAGTTTACGTTGGCTATTACCATATTATACTATGGTTATAATGATTAGTACTGTCACTATATGCTGTCTTCATTAGGATACCGAAATCCAGAGTCACTATTCTGACTCTGAGAAGGACAGAAAGGCACAAACAAATGGAAAGCTAAAATCATACCGCTCTTCTACCTGAATCCTGGGCAATAAATTAATCAAATGATGTTAAAATAAAAAATATTTAGTTCTTAAATACAATGCTATTTCCCATGTTTACTACTGTAGTCTCTATGCTATGAATAGAATTGTATACAAATGTGCATATATACCTATTCTGAGAATGAATAATTTATCTTTAAAAAGTGCTTACTCAGCTGGGCATGGTGGCTCATGCCTGTAATTCCAGCACTTTGGGAGGCTAAGGCGGGCAGATCACTTGAGGCCAGGAGTTCAAGACCGGCCGGTCCAACATGGTGAAGCCCCGTCTCTACTAAAAATAGAAAAATCAGCTGGATGTGGCGGGGCACATCTGTTAGTCTCAGCTATTTGGGAGGCTGAGGTGGGGGAATCATTTAAACCCGGGAGGCGGAGGTTGCAGTGAGTGGAGATCAGGCCACTGAATTCCAGCATGGGCCACAGAGTGAGACTCTGTCTCAAAAAAAAAAAAAGTGCTCACTCTCTGTGGGATAAAGGAAGGTACACATCAGTCAGTAAATGTTGGTTGAGGCACAGGAATAAATTTGTAGACAGTGGAAGACTAGGGGAAAGTTGCAAATATAAAAGTGTTTCTTTTAAAACCACAGATGAATGTGATTTGGTTTAAAATTCTGGGGAAAAAAGTGAAATAGTTATACTGAAATTGGAAGCCATTTGAAACTCAGATACAGTCATTTTTTAAATTTGGACAATGAACTCTACTGTTGCCTTTATCAATTTAATAAAAAGAAACATGGTTCTCTTTCTACAGTTTTGTTTGTTTTTATTTTTTCAAATATCCTTAAATCCTCAAAGCTACTGGTACTTGACCTGGTATAGACTTCATTAAAAATTGGATATGATACGAGTTAAGCCTGACAAGCTCTTGTCCCAGGAAATAATTAAAAAACACTTTTTCATAGAAGCCCATAGAGAAATACAGGCCCAAAGTAAACCCAGAGCTTTGTGTTATTAGCATAACAATGGGCAGAAATGAGACAGGTGTATTTTAACAATAAAATTCTGTGTGGGCTGGGTGCGGTGGGAGGCTGAGGTGAGCGGATCACCTGAGGTCAGGAGTTTGTGACCATTCTGGCCAACATGGTAAAACTCCGTCTCTACTAAAAATACAAAAATTAGTCAGGTGTGGTGGCACGTGCCTATAGTACCAACTACTCAGGAGGCTGAGGCAGGGAGAACTGCTCCAACCAGGGAGGCGGGGGTTACAGTGAAACGAGATCTCACCACTGCACTCATCCTGGGTGAGAGAGGGAGACTCTGTCTCAAAAAACAAACCAACCTCTGTGTGTGGTATAGATTTATCAAATGTGCAATAAGGATATTTGTTTTGTATATTGAGATGACTAAAAGGCAAACCAGGGTACAACTAACAGTTAAAAGATCTTAAGTGCATCCCCGAGGTCAAAGCAGACAGCATGAATGCCCCATAGGCCATCTGGATTGGAAGGTTTCCATCACTCGGATCTATTTGCAAACCATGTGCAAATCCTGCTTTATTCACATACTGGAAAGGAAAATGCATAAGCCCTACTCTAGTGCACACAAAAAACGATTGTGTGTATGCTTCTGGTTGATCACTGTATTGCAATGTATGAAGTTAAGAAGAACACGGGTCACTTCCAGGAAGTACACAGGTAGGGACACGGGTCACTTCCGGGAAGTACACACGGTCCGGTATTTGCATGTCAGCCATTTTGTAACAATTATTTTCAGTGCAGTCCCTTGGATGCTGCATGAAACCAGCCCCAGCCAACGATCTTTCCCTAAATTTTCCAAATGGAAGAATCTGAGAAATCGTTTTTTAATTTTTTTAATTTTTGAGATAGAGTCTTGCTCCATCACCCAGGCTGCGGTGTGACCATGACTCACTGCAGCTTCAACCTCCCAGGCTCAAGTGATCCTCCTGCCTCCGCCTCCTGAGTAGCTGAGACCACAGGTATGCACCACCATGCCTCGCCGATCTTTTATTTTTAGTAGAGATGATGTCTCATCAGGTTGTCCAGTCTGAGCTCAAACTCCTGGGCTCAAGTGATTCTCCCACCTCAGTCTCCCAAAGTGCTGGGATTACAGGTATGAGCCACTGTGCCTGGCCAAATCTGAGAAATTTTTATAGCTAAGTTTTAAACTCTTAATTCCGGAAATTAAAAAGGCTTACAAACCCTCATCAATAGCATGTTTTAAAAACCAAGTTGCTTACAATAATTCAATCATTCTATGTGACTAATACTTATTTTTAATCCCATGATTACATGCTATGTGATTTAAATATTCCT